ACTGCGGGCTACAAAGGCTCAGGTCTAGCACCGACGATTGTCCGGATGGCATTGTAAAATGCGTTCTTGATCCTGTATTTAAAACGCACAGACCTTCGTCACGCACGAGAGCCTCACACAGCCTCCCGCGAGTGTTCGTGGAAGCACACCCCCACACAGTGTGCTGTGCATTAAAATCGCCTAAAACGAGTAGAGGGGGAGGAAGTTGAGAGACTAACTCTCGTAGTCCTCCAGATGGAAATGAAACCCCAGGTGGCAAGTAGAGAGAGCAGACAGTTATGGTGCGGCGGTTGAAATTCACCGTTGCTGCGACAGCCTGCAAGTCTGTTCTCAACACCAGACGCCGCGTAGGTACGCTTTGGTGTACAGCCAAAAGAACGCCACCGTAAGCAACGGTATCTGTTGGCATGTCAGTGCGGAAGGTAGTGTACCCTTTCAGGCTGAAGGCCGCATCAGGCGCCAACGTGGTCTCCTGGAGACACACGGCTACCGGGCAGTGCGCGCTTAAAACTGTCTGCAAGTCCTGGGTGCTTGACCTTACACCTCTACAGTTCCACTGTAAAACTGACTGAATGAAGAGGCTTTAAAAGCACTGTAAGGTTTTAAAAGAACTCAGCAGCGCTAGAGCCTGGCCCATGGTTGTTGGTTTTGTCGTCAGAACCCGAAGAGATCGGGCGGATCCTGGGTCGGATCCGGGGACTACCGCCATCTGTTGGCGAAATCGGCCCCGGCGGTCCACGCTTTTCCGGACGCCCCGTCCTAAACTGAGCCGGCGCCGGCGACGCCGTGGTCCTAGGCGGCGGTGGTGGTGGAGCACCCATAGACGGGTCTCTCCGCGAGTCGGAGGGGCCTGAGGGAGCTTCCACACGCTTTCGGGGAGGTGGGACTACCTCCCCCGTGGGAGCAGGCCCGGGGCCCGCACCCGACAGCCGACTGGCTGCCTTTGCCCTCTCCTGCTCCTGAAGGCGTGCACGCTTTGCCTCGCGCGCCCGTCTCTCCGCCCCTTGGCGCTCGAGGTTGTCCAGTTTCCTTCCCATCGTCTCACTCAGGGTTGTAGGACGTGATGCTCCTGGGGAGGACGGCTGTGACGCCGGTGATCGCGCGCTTACTGGCGAAGACCGAGAGGTTCGGCCCCGGCGGGCCACGGTCCACTCATTGCTTTCGGCTGGTGTCGGGTGGGGCGGCGAGGTAACAACTGGCGCGCTGGCCTGTGCCTCAGAGGGGGCACAAGATGCCAACGAGACGGGGTACGACAGTGTTGCCGATGCTGTGGCGTGCACCTGAGACGCCGGTACAACCGACAGCCCGAACGATGTAAGCAGTTTAATGAACTGCGTTCCAGTCATCTGGTCTAAGGAGACCTCAGGTGGGACATGGGCCTTGGCCGCCGTGGCATATGATGTCTTAGGGTGGCTCAGTTCATATAAGTCCCTTGCTTCCCGAAATGAGATGTTCGTGGTTTTTAGTGCGATGATCTCCTTCTCTCTGGCGTACGCCGGGCATGCGCGATCAAAAGTGGAGTGAGGTCTCTGGTTTTTCCCACAGTTCACACACCACGGGTTCGCTGCAGTGCACTGATCGCTCGGGTGCTCCGGAGAAGCACACTTGCCACATGCTGGCTGGTTACGGCAGAAATCCCTCGTGTGTCCAAACATCTGGCACTTTAAACATCTCATGGGGTTCGGAATAAAAAGGCGCACCTTCACCTTCACATAGCCTACCCTTACTTCAGATGGTATGTCAGGACGATTAAAAGTCAGTACGATGTTGTTGGTGGGGACCAACTCCACACCCCTGCGCACCTTGATGCGGCGAGCATCTGTCACTCCGAACTCGGCAAGGCCGTCGGCTATCTCCTCCTCGCTGACATCTTTCAAGTCAAAGCAGTTGATGATACCCTTTGAAGAGTTCTTTGTCCTGTGAACTTCAACGGTCATCGCCACTGACACGTCCTTTTTCCCTTCCGCATCCCGCACGTAGTACACAAACCTATCCGAAGTCATTGCCCGTTTCGCGTCCTCTCCATTCTGAAACTCGACCTCGATCCCACCGTCCTGCAGCTTATCACATCGGAGCACCTTTCCAAAACGATCACACCCATTTCGCCTTTGAAAGGGCGAAAGGGAAGACAGCGCCTTCTCGGCGCCTCGAAAAATCAAGATTCGAGGGGTAGGCGCTGACGCGCAACCTCCTGTACTCTCTGTCCGCCTCCCTTTCGGGGTGCGGGTGTTTTTTTTTATTTGAAGTTGCCATAGGTGTACGGTTTAAGTATTCGGCACCGAGGCTCCCCACCCACCTCGGAGCCCAACTGGGGGACGGCCCACTCACCCAGGGGGTGGTGGTACCGCCAGGGCTGCCCCGGTGCTATACGGGGCGAACGACACCTCCCGCACGGCCAGGTGTAACCGGGGAGACCCCTCCCCGTCCTGACCATGGTTCAGCGCCGCCACCCCTTGACCCCTTAAGCCGCTGCGCGCGGTCAGGTGCCCCAAGCGGAGACCCGCAAAGAGCACCCAATCGCAACGCGAGCGACAAGCCGCTAGACCCGTGTGGGGCCCCACGGACCCCCACGCCCCCCGATGTTCTGGCCAAAGTGGAGTGTTGGGACGCGCCGTGACTGACCCACACGACGCGCCCCTCAGCCACCAGGATCCGATCAACCCGAGGACGTGGGCGAGGGGGCACGGCGACCCCGATAAAACGAGGATGAGGAGTGGTGATAGGGCAGGATGCGGGAGTGCGGGTGATGTGGAGGGAGCGGGCGGGACAAGGAGCAGGAGCTCACGTACCGGCAGGCTCGCTACGCCCTGAGAGGAACAGCTTGCGCTGTTCACCCGTTACCGGATCTGGGACCCGAGGGGGTGCTAGTCCCCTACACCGGCCGAAGCCGGTGCCCCTGCGGGGACAGCGCTATTTTTATGTTGTTCGATTCCCAGTCTTACTAGATCGTAAGTTGTAACATTGTTCAACTCCCCGCAACATGCAGCACAAAACGTGATTCGTGTTCGAACCTCGGACTAAACGTTACGCATGAGTTGATCCAACTGAGGTCTGCTGGTGCCAGAAATCGTGCTGACGTACGGCAGACACGAAAAACTCGATTATGTTTTTCTTGGCCTTGAACGCTACATTAGCAATGAGGTGGCGGTATTCGCGTGACGTTTCTGTGGCGTCGTGCATGTCTGGATGACCTTGAAAGTCTGCACGAAAAAGTTTGCGCGCGTTCGCGGGCGTCATGCTCGGAAGCCAGACGGCTGTAATGTTAAAAACGTCAAGGCTGCGAACTGCACTGAATGATCTTCAAAATGCCGATCTCAGTTCAACCCCCCCCCCCCCCCCCCCATACAATTGTGGAACTGTCTTGTGAAAATGTTTGTCGAAAGTCTTGGGCTAAGTTTATTTCCTCGTCAGGTGATAGACACCAGAGTACTTGGCTCTGGCAACGTCTGGCTTTTGCCATTCTCCGAGGGAACGCACCTTAAGTGACATTCACTTTAACCATCTAAGAAAAAGAAGAACCCGTGCACGCCCACCACACAGACGGTATGTCGCGACAGCCTGCCGCGTCGTCGAAAGAAGACACCACGAACGGCAAGTCTCCCATGAATGAGATTGCCTCTGGCGCGCGGCCTGCGACGCGGCCATTCGGCCTTACGGGTCTAAAACATGACTTGGTGTTGACCTTAACGCACATAACTCGAGGGGTTACGGTTCCGCCATACCCGCCGAACCCAAATCCATGTGTGGTCCAACCAGTGCATCACCTATGTACTTGTTAATTTTGGTAATGTTTCCGTGGCCGAACGTACTTCTCTTTATAAGCGAAAAAAATGTGGAACACTCTAAGTCTACCCAATCATGGCACAACTAGCAAAATAATACCGTTCTCTGAGCTTCGACCACTTACTAATGCTACTTACTACTCCGACCCCTTGCTGAAACATTGTACCGGCTCCACTATCTTTGAGAACCGATGATCTTCCCATGGTATTAATGCATATGAAAATGCTAAATCATGACTGTTGTTTTTTATTCAAATCCGAGGAAGCAAGAACAGGGGACCAAACAGGAACGCAAACCACCTCAGTTCAGCGGGAATCCATCCCTTTGTCACGCCTTCTAAACAAACGTTGCATACGTCACTCCTCCCCCCCCCCCCCCCCCTCCTCCTCTTAAGAAATCCACCTCACCAGCACTACAAATGTGCCTTAACTGGTTCGGCGAGGAAAAAAAAACACGCCGAATCCAGCTGCGACGCAACGCATAAGTCGGTATGCCCACAAACTACCTGCACGAGTCCCGAGGACAGCATACAAATTACCCCGGCGGGCACGAGGCCCATTTCTGTACATTGTTCACAAGTTCCAGTCCCCCGGGGAGGCATCACCAAATCGACACACAAATGCTACGAACGCACGGGTCCAGGCGTCATCAATCGGGCGCGTTGTCATCATTGGGCGCCTGCAGCGTTATCATTGGAGGCCTGCGGCAAATTCTCCCGGACATGATTGGGAACTGCGGCACCCCGCGGAGGGCGGCGCGACCCACCGACCAGCGGGGTCACCTCCGCGGCCGAAGACGGCCCTGTCGCGAGCTCGGGGCACAGGATCAGCGCGGCGCGCCGCCAAACTACGACCCAGTGACGTCACGGCGCGGCCCTGAGGTTCGCCCGGGCGACGGTGCCCATTAGCGGTCGCCTCTCAGCAGCGAAAAAAACCGAGACACGCTCGCTTCGGGTCGCACCGCTCCGCACCGGCCCGATAACGTCATCCGCAGCATCGAGCGACGTCATCCGCAACATGGGGGCGGTACGGGAGCGCAGTCTCATCAGAGACGCGACCCCGCGAGCGACCCGGTGATATCCGCCCACGGTCCCAGTGACGGTATCCACCCTGCCGTCACCTCCCACATGGAGCTCGTCGCGCGCCGCGTCAGCGGCACGAACCTGCGACAACTATGACGTCCGCGCGCCATTTCAGTGACGTCACGTCGTCGCACCGTCACGGTGACGCGAAGCCGTCGCTGGGCGGAGCGCGTACAACGGCCGCCACGGCCGCTTCGGCCGCGTGCACCGACTTCAGGTGCGCCTGCATGTTGCCCTTGCGCGAGAACACCTTGCGGCAGAGCGGACAGGCCGTCTCGCCGCGGTGCAGGCCCATATGGTGCGTAAGAGAGGTCTTCATCGAGAAGGTCTTGCCGCAGACGTGGCAGGTGTGGCCGCCGGCCGGGAGACGGGGCAGCATCCAGGGCGGCGGCGCCAGCAGGCCTACAGGCAGAGACCGGCCGGCGTCAGCGGCGGCGGGTGCGCGGACAGCGCGGCGGCCCGACACGGCGCCTGGCCATGTCACCACCCGCTGGGTAGTCAGCGCACTCAGCTCGCTGCAGCACGGTCAAATGAACCGCGGCACGGACCGGCCTGTGAAGGCAGCTTCTTTGCTTGGGCATTTTGCGCTTTCCAAAAGCGTTGTCAGAAACTTCGCGTGCTGGAACTGATTTATTCCGTGGAAGGGTGCAATAACACACTGAAACAGACTATTAAGATTTGGGACGATGCGTAGGAGATCGACAGCCTAATGAATCCAGCTTTTTCCAGTCGCATTTATCAATCGAAAATCGTCCATCCATTCTTGTCTAAATTAAGACCCGAGCGACAGCTCTCTTCAAATTATTCCTGACTACAATCACATTTTATGCTGAACGGCGGTCTTTACCAGACATAGCCGTGCTATCGCATTGGTGAGATATGTTAGATATCTCACCTGAAACGTATATTCCTTAGTCCTCTCCCTGATAGGGGGAGATGTAACCCCTGAGGTTTTCTGAAAATACCTCTTCGGCATGTTGTGAAATCAGGTCCAAATGTTCAGTAGCCAATGGGTCATCTGTTAGGCGAGTCTTGGCATCAAAAATGTGTTCCAAGCTTATCTGGTTTGAGATCAGCGGCGGCTCTTGAGGAACACTACACGACGATCTACAATTTGGCACGGCCGGCCGGCGCAAGCGATGATGCCGCGGAACGTGGGCCGACACTGTTACATTAACGGAGCCATGCATCATAAGTACATGCTAGTAACACCTAACACCTAAAACTGTACGCTCATGTACTCAGATTAAATAAGGAACACACCCGTTTAGATTTCGTGTCGCAACAAGGTACGACCTCAAATGTATGATGTTGTTAACCTGAGAGTGCAATTTTCTGGAAAATTTGACCTTTGGTCTGGCATAACGTGCTCAGTTATTGACCTAACAACATAAAAACTAGCGTCAATCGCAAAACCTCGTTGAGGCCAATCTGCTGGTGTTTCTCGCCAAACTCTATCTTCAATACTTTGAGGAAAACCTGGGAGTCGCATTGACTCACCCCTTTAAGTCCGCCTTGCGAAAAACTGCGAATCGGGGCAAGGGTTCATGGGAGTGTTCTATATTTGTATGCGGTTTTGAACTGAAATAGTTATTCAAAAGTCATTAGGTTCATTTTGCAACCCGGCTCTTCTTAGGACCTTAACGGTCTAGTTTTTAGCTACACGCCCGCGAAGCTGTGCAGACTATTTCGTGCAGACTATTTCTAGGTCATTCGGGCGTGCTTGACGCCATAGAAACATCATTCAAGTTCTGCCACCTCATTAGCCGCGCGGATTCAAGGCCGAGAAGAACATAATAGTCGAGCCGTTCATACCTAGCGTTCGTAAGCACGATACCCAGATCTAATGAACGCCAATTCACTCTCAATCGACGCTGTGCAGACTATGCACGTTTCAATCAGGAATCACGCTTTGTGCTTCAAATGGGTTTGTTCCGTCGCCACTCCAAGGAAAGATGAGATGACTTTGGAGAAGGTCGGAAGAGGTGGGAAGAGCGCTGAAATCTGCCGCATTGGAAACGTCTTGTCTTGTCTTAACATTGGGGCTTTACGACGCACTCAGCTGCTGAGTCTATATGGCGTCGCCTGCCCCTCACCCTTGCACGAAGGACGTGCGCCGCCGGAACCGAATCCCATACCTCGGGTTTCCAATACGTGCAGTGGTTAACACAGACGCGTTAACTATGTGAGAAAAAAAGTAAAAACAATGCAATCCTCACGAGGGCAAAGGACGCAAAAGCCCTTTGTTTGGCTGCACCGTACTGGGTCGTGTGCAAGGCCCGCTATCATTTAACGTACGTTGTATGTTGTATACTCCGTGGTCTACTGGCGGTCAATGACAAGTTTCTAGCTAATTTGGTATTTTAAGTGTAGAAATTGACGTCAAATAACACCAGCCGTCCATGAATTACCGGTTTCCAGAAATATTCGAGACTGGAGTTCACACGCGACTTGTAAAATAATCCTCAAGACCGATATCTTTGTTGCTTTTTCTGTCACATACCGTGGTCAGTGGCAGAAAATTGGCAACAACCAAGGTCTTGAAAAATAAATCCGTCCCCAGGATGGCATGATCTTGACCATATGTTCCTTGGCTCGCAAGGCTGTTGACCGTAGTAAACTAAGTATTTCATCACCACGGTACCTGATTTTTTGTGGATAATGTGCGGAAAGAAGCCTGGTGGGGTATAAATGCTCAGCGGACCTAAAGGTTTAACCATTGACTTGATAACCAATATCAACCGGCCAAAATCACCTTCCACACGTAGCGCTGGTACACTCGTATGAAAACGTGCTATGTCATATGCCACAAGACACGGCCTGTTAATATTACAATAAAACGAGCATATGGATTTATAAGGCGAGGCAACCAGTATATGGAATTTAACCTACATCTTACGATATTTGCCTTTCTAATCGCCACGTGGTTTTCAAAAGCAATAAAAATGTGGCCATTGAGTTCATCGTGTTTGGAGTACCTCAGCACGAATCGTGGCATCAACGGACAGCAGTTGGCTCTCAACCAACCTGACGCATATGGTCCGCGGACGCGAGCGAGGCCCAGCTGGCCGCCAGCGACGGACGGAGCTTCCGCCAGCTCCGCCGCCCGTCTCCTGCAGCACTGTAGCTTCACTCGTGGAAGGTCTCACGAACACTTCGAGTACGTCACTGGTAAAGGCCAAGCACCACTTTCCCTGCCGAAAACGGAGCATCCGCCGGACCGGATTGGTCCGCTTCGCACAGGCAGCTGACGGCGGCAAGCTGATCGGCGCACGCGCAGTCAAGGCCACTGAAGTCTGAGACGGTGCTGGGTTGGCAGACGCATATAAATATTAATCTAGTATGAAGGCGTCATGATTTTCCTACTTCAGGTTCACTTAGTCATATCGTAGCGATGCATCTGAACGACCAAACGATCGTGAAGAAAACTGTGGCATTTGACGTGGCCTGTGACGTCATAGGAGAACCGGCAGGTTACCCGACCGGCTTCTGACACAGTACTCAATACAGGGGCGCCTTTCTCGTTCTAACGTGTCCGATCTTTTCACCGGTTTCGGAGATGTTTGGGTAAAAGGCTATACCTTCCTCAACTGCACCTCGCGAACCCATGGAAGCTGGCAATGTCACCAAACACCGGGTTAAACGGCAATGACTTGGCCACGAATAGTGAATTCCGCATTGAAATTTGCTGGCCTATATCAATTCACTAAATTTGCTGGTCTATTCACTGCAATATACCATGTGATGATAGAACGAAGGAAATAAGCAATCATAGTGACATATTAGCAGAGTACTCGACGTTTTGAGCGGTGCCCATGGTCACGACCATGACCACTCCTAGAAACTTGACGTACTCCTATAATGTATCCTGGTCTTTGCATGATGTCTTCGTTTAATTAACATTTAACCCAGCACATTGCAGGTCGGTAACTTCCAGCATACGAACTCGTAATGCCAAAAACAAGGGCTGATACCTGGTGCGCAACCAAGATTTTCTTTCAAGGGAAGCTCCATGAGAGGACATCACACCGATTTTTTGCTTCCCTTCGGGAATCGTCAATGATTCCCGACAATGACGATGAAGAAATGTGTGGACAAAATGCGGGCCTAGCGGGTCTTCCTGCGTGCGCCCCTGGCTTCAACCATTTCTTGCTTATTTCGGGCGTTCATTCTTTTCTTGCTGCGCGCTACGCGAGGGCAGGCACGCAACATTATAGCATCAAAGTCCCACATAGCGCTTAACGTGTTATGTACGAATGAGAAAACCGGTGGTTCAGAGTCATTTATTAGGCAAGTCGTCGCAGATACATCATGAAAGCTGCCTGCATTTTCCTGAACCGAAGCCTGGACATCTGTGCAACTAGACGATACGGATTACGATTCCTGTACATCGACAGCATGAGTCACGCAAGAAATGAAAGGAGCAGGCTCGCACTACTATGAAAGGAGCGGACTCGCACTACTATGAAAGGAGCAAGCTTGCACTACTATGAAAGGAGCAGGCTCGCACTACTATGCGCCCTATGTGCGTATGGCACGATGCTTTAGTAGCCGGTGTCATCCCCTATAACATTCAACACTTCACCTAGCGATCAGAATCCTTATTTGGCCACGTCCCCGTCTCCGCGCACGTTGGCATGCCAACAACAGCTTCAAGACGAAGCGTGGTGTTCCGAACCTCACCGCTTCCACACTGGCCTCTAGAGCACAGCCTCCTGCCTCGAGGCCCTGAGACCTCAATGCCAGCAGGGAGAATTTCGCGCTGCACCTTCAGACCGGCCACCACTGCGTCCCTGTTAGCAGGCAGCCTGCCTGGATCGGTCGGCGTGCCATGCGTGCCACACTGGCGCCGCTGGCGGCCGCTGCCCCCTCGCTGTCAGACCGTAATGGGACCACGCTGGGCCCCACAGTCCATCAGACGCAGATCAGCCCCGCTGGAGCCAACCCCGACGCTCGCGGGACCCGACCGAACCCCATTTCCGGTTGGAAGGCGCCGGTCCACTGGTGCGCCAGATCGGATCTCACCGGGGCCGGCGCTGAACGCCACTCGGGCCCGCGCCGGACCCCAGCTAGACGGCCGGGCGCCGCTGGAGCCGCGGCGGCGTCACGGCCGGGCTGGCCTGTGCCGGCGGCCAGGGCGGCGGCCCGGCCGGCGCGGCGTCGCCGTGCTGGCGCACCATGTGCGCGTTCAAGCCGGACATGCGGCTGAACACGCGGCCGCAGAGCGTGCAGCGCGTGCGGCCCTGGTGCACGGCGCGGTGGTGGCACAGGTTGGAGCGCTGACTGAACTGCTGGCCACAGGTCTCGCAGCTGAAGCGCACGACGCCCGGCCGCCAGCCTAGAACAGGCGGCCCCCGGTCAGCAGGGCCGCCACGGCGCGGCGTCAGAGGGCCGCACGGCACCGGCGCAACAGCGGCGACAGTACCGGCAGTACAGCGGCGACAGTACCGGCAGTACAGCGGCGACAGTACCGGCAGTACAGCGGCGACAGTACCGGCAGTACAGCGGTGACAGCACCGACAGTGCAGCGACGACAGTACCGGCAGTGCAGTGGCGACAGTACCGGCAGTGCAGCGGCGACAGCACCGGCAGTGCAGCGACGATAAACCGCAGCACAGCGGCAATAGCACCGGCAGTACAACGGCGACAGTACCGGCAGTGCAGCGGCGACAGCACCGGCAGTACAGCGACGACAGTACCGGCAGTGCAGCGGCGACAGCACCGGCAGTACAGCGACGACAGTACCGGCAGTGCAGTGGCGGCAGTACCGGCAGTACAGCGGCGACAGTACTGACAGTACAGCGGCAACAGTACCGGCAGTACAGCGACGATAGTACCCGCAGTACAGCGGCGACAGTACCGGCAGTACAGCGGCGACAGCACCGGCAGTGCAGCGGCGGCAGTAGCGGCAGTACAGCGGCGACAGCATTGGCAGTACAGCGGCGACAGTACCGGCAAGGCAGCGGCGACAGCATTGGCAGTACAGCGGCGACAGTACCGGCAGTACAACGGCGACAGCACCGGCAGTACAGCGGCGACAGCACCGGCAGTACAGCGACGACAGAGCGGCAGTACAGCGGCGACAGCAATCGCTACGACGGGGCACATGTCCTATACTCATTGGCCCATCCAGCAAGGCGCGTGAATGAAAAGAATGTGTTAATTCGATCGGGTTCCATATTTCGTACTAACATTGCGCTCGCATGGCGAGGCTTTGTGTTTCTCCGAAGGAGTATTTCTCCCCGCCCCCCCCCCCCCCCCCTCCCGGCACGTCGGAGAGGGAACATCGTTTCCGGCTCACGCATCAGTTTTATGAAGCTCCGAGTAAGCGCACAGGATAAATATGAGCGATGATGGTAATAGAGATGGTCGAACGTATTTTCGATAAGATAAGTAGTACGGCCCGACACACAAGACAATATCGAAGTCTCCGTCTACAAGAAGACACCAATAAATTCGCAACGTATGGACCCCAAGTACGGAGCGATCGAACAGGCAGGACATTTCGGAAATCACAAAACAAGCAGGGATAGAGAGTGAACCAAACGTAATATAATCTGATCTAACGCAATTTTAAACGCCATCTGACCCCAAATGACCGGCAGAACCGGCACCTCCACCGAGAGACGCTGGTTAGCTCTTTCTGCCGGGGGATGCTGGTCACATCGTCCTGCCCAGACACGCTGCATACATGTCCGCCACACGGCGATGTGTTCTCTGTCGGCAGAGAACGGCACCTACGCGCCCCAGAGGTGCCGCCACCTCTGCCTGACGAACACCATACGAGCGGGCACCGCAGGCTGAGAGGCGCCGCCACCTCTGCCTGACGAACGACACCATACGAGCGGGCACCGCAGGCTGAGAGATGCCACCACCTCTGCCTGACGAACGACACCATACGAGCGGGCACCGCAGGCTGAGAGATGCCACCACCTCTGCCTGACGAACGACACCATAGGAGCGGGCACCGCAGGCCGAGAGGCGCCGCCACCTCTGCCTGACGAACGACACCATACGAGCGGGCACCGCAGGCTGAGAGGCGCCGCCACCTCTGCCTGACGAACGACACCATAGGAGCGGGCACCGCAGGCTGAGAGGCGCCGCCACCTCTGCCTGACGAACGACACCATAGGAGCGGGCACCGCAGGCTGAGAGACGCCACCACCTTTACCTGACGAGCGGCGCCATAAGAGCGGGCACCGCAGGCTGAGAGACGCCACCACCTCTGCCTGACGAACGACACCATAGGAGCGGGCACCGCAGGCTGAGAGGCGCCGCCACCCCTGCCTGACGAACGACACCATAGGAGCGGGCACCGCAGGCTGAGAGGCGCCGCCACCTCTGCCTGACGAACGACACCATAGGAGGGGGCACCGCAGGCTGAGAGACGCCACCACCTCTGCCTGACGAACGACACCATAGGAGCGGGCACCGCAGGCTGAGAGACGCCACCACATCTGCCTGACGACCGACGTTATAGGAGCAGGCACCACGTCCCGAGAGGCGCCACCACCTCTCCCTAACGAGCGGTGCTGTAGGAGCGGGCACCGCAGTCCAGTAGGAGGGCCCGGGCAGAGACGCTAAGATTATCGGCCTGTGGACACTGGGCCCAGTCCACTGAGATGCTGAGCACCCTACAGCCCAGACACGGGCACATGTCTGGCGAGACATGATGAGCACATGTCCGACGGCAGACAAAAAGCGATCGACACATGCCTATCTGGCAGACATCTCTCAGTCACAACACACCCGTCACCTTTGTTTGACCTTCAGCACTGGACATGACTGCCAGCGAAGCCATGGGGCACCCTCGACCGCCGGGAGACGATGCTAACTTTTGTCTACCTTGAGGCGCTGAAAGGTCATCTGCCAGGGGACACCCCACAACCCTTCGACAACTCTCAAAACCCTCACTTACGTCCACAAGTGCACTGCTACGTGCCAAGTCCTTACTTGTCTCGACTTGTTACCTTAAGTGACCTTCACGTATTGAGTGCATTAGCTCATGTGCATAGTAATTATGCGTAAGCTCCACAAGGACCGGCAGCCGCGTTGCTGGACAACGGTTGGCTTCGTAGGTGTTCTCCAACGCCTCTACCAACGGAATGGTTTCAGTTCTCGCCACCAGGCGTCAGTCATTGAAGGCGAGAAGTCGGCTTGATTGATGTGTGCAAGGCCATGTATAGTTCGGCGAAGCTCATGAGGACGGCAGCGGGCGCCGTCTACGCATTACAACAGTAAACCACAAATTTTCCTTGTGAATGTCCAAGGTATGGGATTCAACACACCTGCAAGTTCAGGTGATCGAACCAGAAGGATCGAGTGGTCGTTAATTTTAGTGCCCGCGTTAGCGGAGTCCTTGCAACATAGCCGATTCGATATAGCAGAGCACGGTTTCTAGATCTCGGCATTGTTTGTCACGAACTTGTTAATGCCGAAAGCATGTAATTTGCATGTCTGCATGTGTTTATTATGACCTTACTGAAAAAGCAGGATGAGATGGCCTTGGCACACCGCCAACAGCGACGCTCAGCATCTCATGTGGACGTGTCATTGCTGCATTGTTCTGACACTGACAAATACGTCCATCGGCGCGTAGCGGACATTCCCGTTCCCGCGAATAACGCTATATATTCTCCGTCAGTTAGAGGAATCCAGAGTATTGTCGGCTTACATAATTTGTTTTTGTCTTTGCTTTTTTAATTTATTTGCTAGATCAATTAAAACTTATCGTTTGGTTTCATATTGCCGGACAAAAGGTGGGATCTCACAACTTTGTACCCGTAAAACATGTCTTCTTTACGTGGTCGAAAACAAATGTTCGTCCTGGAACCTTCAGTCAGTGGTTGTTTATTTTGCGTAAAAGCACTTGGTTAGACACACAACTGCATGAAACGTTATTTCACAACGCAATGAACCAAAAAGGGCACCAAAAATAATACATACCATACTAACCGTTATGATCCACTTGTGTGACCATTACGAAGAGTATATCCATCATCCACACCTTAGAACGTTTTTGACACAAGTATCAGCGCTGCACACAGCCAATCTCTGGCAGGCAGGGAAGCCACAGGGCCAAACACCTTCACAAGCGACGCCCGTGTAGCCCAAAAGCGAACGGTTAAGCGGGCCCTCGCCACACACCGTTGGCATCAACACGTCCGTCGCGTACGATAAAATCGCGGGGAGGCGTCTTGTGACTCGGCCCTGACCTGCGCGACCCCTCGCTGTCCGGCGCGGCAGCCTCGGCCGGTACACACCGCGTCCGCCCACCGGTCGGCAGCACAGTCGGTCACTGAGCCGAGGGCGCCGCCTGCCAGCGCGACAACCCGCCAGGGGAGCCGGGGTTGCGCCGCCAGCGACCCGCCGACAGTGGGCTCTCACAGGGCAGCATCACCGGCCGGCCCCGGCCCGGGACCAGGACGCAGCCCAGGCCTCGGAACCAGCCCGGACCTCGGACCCAGCTCGGGCCTCGGACCCAGCTCGGGCCTCGGACCCAGCCCGGGCCTCGGACCAAGCTCAGGTCTCGGACCTTGCCCGCGTCCCGGTCCTTGCCCGGGCCCCGCACCCTGCCCGGGCCGCAGCACCGGTCCCGGTCCAGTCCCCGTCTCCCGGCAGCTGTGCCGCACGTGCGCCCGCAGCGCCATCTTGCAGCTGAACACGCGATGACAGCGCGGGCACGTGGTGAGGCCGCGGTGCAGCTCCTCGTGGCGGCTTAGCACACGCCGGCTGCCGAAGGCGCGGCCGCACGTGGCGCACGGGAACGCGTGGTACTGAGCCAGCCAGCGCGGCGGCCGGCCCTGGACGGCCCGCTGCCGACCTGCCGGACACACCAGAGCCCAGGTGGAGGAGCGCCCTCTGGCGGCGGCACGCCGCCGGGATGGCCGGCTGTGCAGCACGCGTGCCGACTGAGCCAGGAGGCGGGCGTCTTACGGGACAAACGTTTGCCATTGAACCACATGAGGTTGTGCGGTGTTTAAGAATGTTGCGAAGCCAGATCAGATAGTGTCGCATCGTACATCTCAATCAAACAGCAAGTACGTTCAGCAATACACGCGGCATATCATCTTTGCAAGCGAACAAGCCATCCAAGCAAGTGCGAGGCGAATACAATAGACAAGAAAACGCGCCGACTACCGCGGCCCTTTCGGAAGGCCGGGGTCCACACCACGCCACGGCAAGCACCAACCACGGATCGCGTTCGCGTTCCGCTCGTGCACAGACCTCCCAGCCGCGCTCGCCACCCCCTGCGCAGCCGGCCGGGTGGCCGCCTGAGGACCGTTGACCCCGGTACGGGCTCGCTGCCCTCCTGGGACCAACCTCCCGACTTCCGGCAGACTCAGCACCGTGGCTGCCGGGGAGCGCGCCGCGCGCCGCCCAGCACGGCATGGCCGACCCGGAGGCGCGCGCTATCCCGCCCGGCCCGGTGGGCGCACCAGCCGGCGACCTCGACCGGAGGCGGAGACGCGGTGCCGGCCGTGGACGGTCCTACCTGGCGCGGCGCTAGCGGAGCTCGTGCTCGGGGTGGCGCTGCGCCATGTGCCGCCGCAGGCCGAAGCGCGTGCCGTACACGGCCTGGCACACGTGGCACGTGGTGCGGCCGCGGTGCATGGCCACGTGTTGCGAGTAGGAGGCCTGCGTGAAGTGGCGACTGCAGATGGGACAGTGGATGCGCGCGGCGTGGTCGGCGGCGGCGGCGGCGGTGGCGGAGGGCGGCGGCGCAAGCCGCCAGCGCGACCAGCTGCCGACGGCCGCCAGCGCCACACCTACCGGCCAGAACAACACCAGTCAGCGCCAGCACCAGCACCCCAGCCAGCTTCCGGCAACGACCGCCCGAACGGCAGCGGTCAGGTAGAGACGGCCGCCCAGTGGGCTAGCTGACCGCGCTTGGGTCAGAACATCAACAGTACAAGGTGGCGCCAGCGCCCGGCGGTACCGCCAGCGCCAGCCAGCTGACGCGAGTGCCAGCCTACCGGCGTCAGAGCCAGCCTGCCAGTGCAAGCGCCAGCCCACCTGCGACCAAGATGAACGGCTGCTCCGAGCGCTTACGTGATGACGGGAAGAAGCCTGGCCTTGCTACAGGACAACAGGTGGACATAACTTGACATGGAAATGCTACACCATGCGGATGAATAACGCTGGCTGGGAGTTCGCCAAGCCCTTCGCAATACATAATCCAAGAGGAGGAAGCAGCGCTATCCTTGCTGCAGCTTTACGCAGGTATTTCCAAACGAGGCCGCATGGCAGCCTGGCTCATAGAGCACCGTCAAAGCAGACGCTGCAGCCCGTGCCGCAGGAGCAGGTCCGCGAGAGCAGTCACATCTCAGCGGAGAGCCGAGAGCGGAGCGGAGTGTCCATGAGGCCCGCAGACCCAGCTGGCACCAGCTGGAGCGGCCGAGACCCGAGACCCGGGATTGGCGTCTCCTCTGCGACACCTTGGTCGGACCGGGCGTGCCGCGACAGCGGCGGACCGCGCGCCAGACAGACATCGCCTTCGTCCAGAGTCTGCCACCTCATCACGCGACGTCTGCAGAGGACACTGGCCGGCGGCAGCACCAGAACAAAGGCCATGGCCATCTAAGAACAGGCTTTATTCGGAATACGAAGCACCGCACACAGCGACACATACTCGCACGGCGTGCGGATGTAAAGCGCTCGACCGGCGTTCCCAACCACCCCGGCCACGAAGGCACCCACGCCTGCTGCCGCTTCAGCAGGGGGCCAACCTCCAGCCCGACGCTGCGGGTTGGGCACGTGACGCGGCGACCGGGCGGGGTCCGGCAGCGGCGCCGGCGCCGGCGCCGGCACCGGGCAGGGGCGCCGCACTGCCGGCCACGTCCGCCGTCCGTTCGGCACCGCGGCCGTGGCCAACTGGACCCAGCCGACAAATGTACTGCGGGCACAAATCTGCTGCGCTGCTGTCTTGCGCGGCATTATGCGGCTACCCTGTGCGACACCGCGCGACCACCCTGTGCGGCATTGTGCCGCCGTCGGCGTGCGGGCGCTACTCCGGCGGCGCGGGGCGGGGCTGGGCGGGCGCGTGCGGCGGCGGCGGCGGCGACGGCGACGGCGGCGGCGGCGGCGGCGGGTGGCGCGCCTGGATGTGCACGCGCAGGTTCCAGGCGGTGCTGTACACCACGCCGCAGAACGGGCAGCGCGTGGAGCCAAAGTGCGAGGCGCGGTGGCGGCGCAAGTACACGCGCGACTTGTAGCTGCGGCCGCACAAGTCGCACACGCACCGCCAACCTAGAAACAGCCAGAGGAGCGCGTGTGAGCCGGACGGCTGCGCGCGGGGCGGTCACGGGTCACGTGCTGCGCAAGCCCAGGCCACCGTCCGGCCCGAAGCACCACCAGTACGGGGAACCGGTCATGCAGGTGTGTCAAGCTTGCAGGAATTTGTATGCCGCAATGCGTGTCAGCACGGTACGCATTTAACGTGCACAGATGGCAGGTCATATTTTAGGAAATCTCGCTGTAGCGAGGATACGGCAACCCTCACAAATTCCACCGCAACCGGGCGAAGTGTCGTGCAAAGGGATATTGGACAACATTTCAATGCATCCTTCTCCACAATGAAGTAAGTTATTCACAACAACGCCAACGTACCCTCGATAGCAATGCCCCTGTGCCGCCGGCTCTGCCAACCATGCCTTCATTCAGAGAGAGACGCTATGCGACCAGTTGCGCCGCACTTTCCGACAGTTAAGGCCGTAACCAGCCTGTACTGATGCTGATTTGTACCGCGCCTGACCTGCCACCCCCCCCCCCCCCCCCCCCTCTGGGCCTGAGTCTCTGGCGACAGGCTGACCGAATCAGCCAGCGCTGTGCCAGCGACTCCCCCTCGTCCTATGGTCAGTGCCGCAGGCCACCGTCCACTGCTGGACATCTGTACCGACCTCAGCACGTGCTGAGCCACCGTCAGTGAGTGGCTGACCGCCTGTCGCGCATGCATGCACACCGCCGCTCAGCACCGCTGATTGGTGACAAGACGGGGAGCCGTATTGTCCCAATATGCTTTTGGTGACAAGACGAGGGAGCTTGTCCCAAGATGCTTTATTCCACACAAAAAAGCAACACCGGACGCACTGCCAGACCACGCTCGCCTGCGAGGGTAAGCTCAGCCCCTCCCGGCAATTGAAGGGATCTGAGGAGCACGCCTTCGACAGCGACAGACCGTCAGGCCCGTGCGCCCGCCGCCGTCGTCCAAACGCACAGGACCACACACGCCGCGCACAGCCGCTGCCACCCGTCCGACACCTAGCCGCTGCCGACCTGTCTGACACAGAGCCGCTGGCGACAGACCATCACCGGGGGCCTGCGCCGCCGCGACCCGGCCGGCGGTTGGTCCTCCTTCCCGTCTCCCGTCCCCAGCCGGGCCGTGGCGTGCGGCGGCCCGCCACGAGCGCCCCGGCAGAGACACCGCCCTTAGCGTTACAGCGCTACATGCAGCGCTGCGTCCACGGCGACAGAACGACTTGATCCCGCACTGCGCAACTCGGGCGTGCGGACATTCATGTGGATACCATGTGCGAGAACGTTGCGCACAATGTCATGATGTAAACATCTGACGGTCACGACTTGGAAAGAGTGCATTCCGATACGTAAGGGATTATTGTGCAGTTCAAACGCGCCACCAAACCTTACAGTGACACAGGGATCCACGCACCCACCGCGCTACACTCCACAAAACATCCACGGATGCAACATAAGAGTGCTCGAATCAGTTACTGATGCATTTGGTCATACAATGTAAAAACAGGAACTGGAATTACCGGCCGCCTCAGCCAGAGCATCACAGAGAAAAACCATACACGGCCGACGAGCTTCCATGATCGGCTCTGTCTCACTGCCGGGCTCACTTTCACGATCGGCTCCGTCTCGCTCCACTTCCATGATCGGCTCTGTCTCGCTCCGGGCTCACTTCCATGATCGGCTCTGTCTCGCTCCGGGCTCGCTTCCATGATCGGCTCTGTCTCGCTCCGGGCTCACTTCCATGATCGGCTCTGTCTCGCTCCGGGCTCCTTTCCCGCCCCCATTGCCATCTACTGGGCCCCTTCTCCATCCGGGTCCCTATCCGCCATGCCAGACAGGCCTGGCGGGCTGAGCGCGGCGGCTCGACCGGCTCCCCATGCTGCCTGCTCTCCCACCGGGTCCCGAACAACCGTCCAGCCCGTCCGGTCCAGCCCGACCGGAGCCGGGGCCGGGGCCAGAGCCGGAGCTGGGGCCGTGGTCGGAACTGGTGCCGGGGTCGAAGCCGAAGCCGGAGCCGGAGCCGGAGCCGGAGCCGGAGCCGGAGCCGGAGCCGGAGCCGGAGCCCGAGCCGGAACCGGAGCCGGAGCCGGAGCCGGAGCCGGAGCCGGAGCCCGAGCCCGAGCCCGAGCCGGGGCCGGTGCCACAGCCAGAGCCGGTGCCACAGCCAGAGCCGGTGCCGGTGCCGGTGCCGGAGCCAGAAATGGGGCGGGCCGCGCCGCCGGCGGCACGGAGTGGCGGGTCAGCAGGTGGTTGCGTAAGTACCAGCGCGAGCAGTAGACGATGCCGCAGAGGTGGCAGCGCGTCTCGCCGCGGTGCACGGCCTTGTGCGTGCTGAGCGCGATCGAACTGCGGAAGCGGCGAGGGCACAGGTGGCACCGGTACTGCGGCGGCCCTGCGGACAGAGCAGAGCCCGCGCGTCAGCCGACGGCGGCCGCGGACCACACCAGACCGGACCGGACCGGACAAGGCCAGAGCAGGCCAGACCAGAGCAGACCAGATCATACCCGACCACAGTCGGCGACGACCAGGCCAGACGTCAGGCGCCGGCCGGTCCCGGGCACACCAGACCAGAACACAGAGCGGTCGGGTCTCGCTGGCGGACGCTGCGGCCCGAGTCATTGACAGAGCGTCACTCCCCGCTACTCAGCCGGCGCGACCCCACTCATCGCGCCTCCGACTCGCTGCGATTCGTCCCGGGTCACGGGCTCGGAGACCGGAGCCTCGCCAAACGAGTCACACCCGCCAGTCCGGGCGCCCACTCGCCCCCGTCCCGACTCATCCCATCCCGCGCCGCTGGCGCCTCTCGCTCGCACTCACCCCGCGTCTGACTCGCGCCGCGTGGCGCCTCAGCTGGCCCACGCCCCGGGAGGGCCGCAGGCGGTGCGCCGCAGGTGCTCGTTTAGGTTCCACACGGTGCTGAACGTGCGTCCGCACCGGTGGCACACGGTGCGGCCCTCGTGGCGCGCCAGGTGGCTGCGGTACGAGTCGCGGCCTCGGAACGTCTTGCCGCAAAGCTGGCACCGAATGCCCGCCCGCCAGTGACCTGCGGCACGCGGGGATAGCGGCGTTAGCGCCGGCGCGGTACGGAGGTGACGCGACGCGCGCCGCGAGCGCCGCCGGCGGCCACCGGGGGCTGGCCACCAGTGGCGGCCAGCCGCCGATTCCGTTCTGGTTTTACGAGTCCACACAGAGCTCACAGTGGAGCTTCGCTAAGGCGTCAGGCGAGCGTTTCTGATCTTGAACGGGGCCAGAGAGACTCGCCACAGAGTCAATCGGCAGGAATCGCTCCAGCAGCGCCGGATTCGGTTCGTGCGTTCCTTTTTCCAGATCTGTGATGGAAATGCATGGCGTGTAGTGGAACACCACAGAGACCAACGGCCAACGAAGGAGGCCTTTGTTGACGAAATCACGGACCTTTCGTGGCGCAACCAATCGATGAGCGAGGGTAAGTTTTCACACCAGATGAAGAATGGCATTTACGCGCCAATGCCGCAGGAGGCGTCTTGGACCAATGGTGGTAATCCGGGCCCAAGCCGGCGATACCCAGTCAGATATGATGCGCATCATCGGCAAACGCCTGATGTTCCCAGCCATAAACGCCTTTCCTTACAATTCGTCCCCTCACCACGGAGTTATAGCGGCTGCCTTGCAAAACGTCCGGTCCGGGGAGCGCCGGCACTCTGAGCCATCCGGTCCGGGCAGCACCGACACTGGGCCATCCGGTCCGGGGAGCACCGACACTCTGGACAATGCGGTCCGGGGAGCACCGACACTCTGGACAATCCGGTCCGAGGAGCAACGACACCCTGGGCCATCCGGTCCGGGGAGCAACGACACCCTGGGCCATTCGGTCCGGGGAGCACCGACACTCTGGGCCGCCGACCGCCGTCCGCAGCCAGCCGGGATTACAGTGGTGGGAGAGCGGACACGAGCTCAATACATCTCGTGCTTTGAGTGCGCAGCGGGACCGGCACCGTCGCCGCTTCCATGGCAGGCGCCGGTCGACGGTCAGCACATGCCGACGCAGAGAGCTGGCCAGCCGTATGCCACTCCTCACGCCTGGCGAACCCCCGTGACTCCGCAATCCCACACAAGCCAGCGGCGGCCTCCGCCAATGGTTAGTTCATCGATCCTATGATCCGGCGGGCCAATACTCTCAGCTTCACCCGAGAAAGATGATTCCCGTCTAGTATCATGTATTTATTCAATCACGTGTTGGCGACATCGGGAGGGCGTACTAATGCCGTGCAGCTGCCGGGTGACACATTGACGTGGGGAAACACCACTTAATAACCAACGCTCGCATCCCTTAAAACTAACCATGGTACCACCGTCTGACGCCTATCATCCAGACTGGTTACAAGGATCAGCCGGCAGCTGCTGGGATAGCCTCGGAGTCAGTGCAATTCGAGCGGACACAATGCACATCTACCTGAACCCGAGCCCAGCCGACGGCAGATAGCCTCGACACGGATTGAGCGGCTTCAGTGCCGCTGCCATCCAATATCCATCATCCATGATGCCAATACCACCACTGATGCCCAGGGCCGTTACATTAAACCACCGCTTGTCGTGATCACAACTGCGTTAAGGGGGCGATCAGGAGGCCCTGAATGGCCATCGGGGCCGAGACCAAATCACACGCCTGTCACCTCCAGCTTCTGATCATGCTCCGATCACACCGATGCACCACCCTGATCCCACCACCCTGTGTTGACGGCACCTCTGGCCGCTGCGGACCACCGCTCAGCGCGGCGCGTCTCGCGGCGGCTGGTCCGCCGCGCCGCCGCCAGGTGGCAGTAGCGTCAGCGTCGGCCGCCAGGCGTCGCTGTCGTCGGCGGCCGACCACCCGGGGTCGGCCGGCCACGCGCCGCCCGCCGCCGCCGAGCTGGACGCCTCGGCCAGCGCGGCGCCGGCGCCGGCGCTGGTCCAGCCAACGGCGGCTGCCGCCGCCGAGCCAGTCGCTTCCGTCAGCGCGGCGCCGGCGCCGGACCAGCCGGCGGCGCTCGTGTGGCGCAAGAAGAGGGCCTGCTCGCGCGTCAGGTGGTGCACGTTGCGCAGGTGGCGGTGCAGGTGGGCCACGCGGCTGAGGCCGACGCCGCACAGCCGGCAAGTGGTGGCGTCGCTGTGTGAGCGCCAGTGCTTGCGCAGCGACGACAGGCTCGTGTAGCCTCGACCGCACACGAGACAGGTCAGCGCCGCTGCGAACACAGGCCAGACGAGTATAGCGCGCCGTCGCCGCCGCCTCGCCAGCGGGTGCTAGTGCTGTTCGCCCGCACTGTGGTCGAGTTCAAAAAGCGTCGAGGCGGCGGGTGCCTAGGATTTATCCGTATTCGCGACGGGTCACCGCGTCAGGCGCGACGTTCGCGGTTCGACAAATCAGCAGCCGCCTTAACCTGGTTCGATCGCGTTCGTTTATTATGGACAAAGGGTAGCCAGCGGCTTCACTCCTACAGCCACAGCATCATTCCGACGTTTTCCTGCTCGCTCCGAGTACATGGTACATGTATATACATGCGCATATGTTGTACAACGTCAAAGCTCGTGTTTGCACACGGCCTAGAATACGTCGGCGCAGATCCACGCATGGACTCGACTGCGTCGGCGCAGATCCACGCACGGACTCGACTGCGTCGGCGCAAACCCACGCACGGGCTCGACTGCATCGGCGCAAACCCAGGCACAGACTCGACTGCATCGGCGCAGATCTACGCACGGACTCGACTACGTCGGCGCAAATCCATGCACGGGCTCGACCGCGTCGGCGCAGATCCACGCACGGGCTCGACTGCGTCGGCGCAGACCCACATGCGGACTCCACCATTCGGTCATCAAGGTAAAAAGCAGACGCAGGCCGGGTCACCTCTACATGCCGGCACTTCATCCAGCGCTCCTTCTGAGACGGGCTCAGCCGGCCAGGCGCGGGGGTATTCTGTTGGCGTGCCACTCTCGCGTACGCATGCAATCCCATCTTATCCAGCCGCGAATCACCCACTGCGTACGTCACATCACTCCCGCCTGAAAAGGCGACCCGCTGCCGCCTAAAATCCTGTTCACCCACCGGTCGGTATGCCCTTCGGTTACGGAGAACGCCAGGGACTGGGAAAAACGGTCGCGACCGTTTCAGCCCCGCGACCTGAGGCCTACGGTTCTGCGGCTCGCGGCCCTACCCCACCGTCGGACCCCGACTGTCGATCGCACAACGTTCTCTGCTTTCCATACACGTGTGCCTTTCCGGCATCACGGGCTGTCAACGCAACGTTTCCTTGATCTTTTCCAAGGCTCTGGCCCTATCGACTGCCGCCGCCAGTCGGAGCTGAACAACAAAACGCTCCGCGACACAATCCGGTACACCCTCTCGACCCCGTCTCACGGGCGTCCCCTCGCTCTCTGTTCGGCCCGCCGCCGCTGCGTGTACCAGTCCGCGCCCCTGCCAGCAGCGGCTCCGCTCCGTCCGGCACCCTCCGCCTGGGCCGCTCCCGCCAGCAGCAGCAGCCCGGCTCCGTGGGGCGGCTCAGAGTGGCGGGTGGCAGCGCCGCATGTGCGCACGGTACAGCGAGCGGCGGCAGTAGATCACGCCGCACAGCTGGCACGTGGTCTCGCCAGAGTGCACGGGCAGGTGCTGGCTCAGCGACTTTGGGTGCGTGTACGTCTTGCCGCAGACCGGGCACCGGAGCAGCGCCGCTGAAACAGCAGCAGCGGCGGCGTCAGCGCCGGCGCCGCCCTCAGCAGGCAGGCCATGGCGCCTGGGCGTGATGGCGGCGCATGTGCAGGTTGAGGCGCGCACGCCGGCAGAAGGTGCGGCCGCACAGTCGGCAGGTGGTGTCACCAGAGTGTACGGGCAGGTGCTGGCGCAGCGACTCGGGGTGCGTGTACACGCGCCGGCACACGGGGCACGTGTACGCCATCCGCGCCGCCGCTGCCGCCGCCGCTGCCGACACACAGAGGCGGGTGTCAGCGGCGGCCGGCCCGACGGAGGGACGGCCCCGGAGGAACGGCCCCAGCCGGCGGCAGCGCAAGAAGCTGTAGCGCTCGCCGCCGCCGCCGCCGCCGACGCGCGACCGCGAACCGCGGAGTCGTGTCTAACTTTGGCCGGCCCATTGAAAGCTGTGAGGGAATGCGTTGACAAAACACATCTGTGCCTCGGCTCATCGGGGCATTGCCCATAAGCGCAGCATGGAAATCTGTTTATTGATGCAGTTAATAAATCGAATCCGTTGATACGACAGCTGGTACTGTCGAAATTAAACCGAACGGTTACAGAAAAATGACAGATACACAACCTCCAAACACGACCAGCAAACCGGCCGGAAGGATGCTCGCCGCGGGATACGGCTCGCACTCTGTCCCCCTGAAGGCCAAATAAGTACGTCAAACCATCGTGCGATTACTGACACCGTGGGCAAGGAAGCATTCATCAGATCTCGTCAGATCGCCGGAGGCCATCAGTCCGTCCGCCTGTACACCACTTGCGCCGCGCGACGTCAGATCGCCGGAGGCCATCAGTCCGCCTGTACATCACTTGCGCCGCGCGACGTCAGATCAGACCACCGCTGGTGACCGACCTTCAGAACAGAAGACCATCGCCAACAGGCGCCCCAACAAAACCGCACCCAAGACCACCAACGTCCTCGCTCTCAACCTTTCTCTCAGCACCGCCCGGGTCCGTTCCGCTTCGCGCGCGCCGCGTCACGCACGGCACCCGGGAGCGAAGCCCGCCGCGGCCGGCGGCGCGACGTCACACGGCGCCGGCGTCTGGGTGGCACGAGCGCACGTGCACGTTGAGCCGCGCCACGCGGCCGAACACGCGGCCGCACAGTCGGCACGTGGTGTCGCCCCTGTGCACGGGCAAGTGTTTCTGCAGCGACTGCTGGTTTGTGTAGGAGCGCCAGCAGACGGTACAGTGGAGGGGTGCGCGCGCCGGCCGCCGCCCGCCCGCTGCCGGAGAACAGAGAGAGACACACCGTCAGCGGCCTGCCACCCGTCTGCAGCGTCCACAGCCTGCCGGCGTCGCCCGCCGCCCGCACCGGCCCGCGGCTCTGGCTGCCGCCGACCGGCCGCCCGCCGCTCGCGAGAGTGCACGCCGCAGAGCGTGGTGGGCATGATCCTGGCCTCGCTAGTGCCTACAAGCAACAAGCGGAGAAGAAAACCGGACTGCTGAAGCACACTCACGCACACGTGCGATAAGACCTCTCCAATGGCTAAGCTGACAAAAAAATGCGTCTGGTTCGTACAATATGCACAATGGCAGAGTAAAAATGAAACACCAAGGCCAATCCATAGGAACAAAAAAAGGGACGCTCTCAAATAAATAAACCTGTCCAAGATACCGTACAACCGCGAGAAAACCAAGCCGCCGGTAATCCACTGCCGACATGACACACGATCTCAGCGGATCACTAGGCGTCACCACGAGAGGCAGGAACACCAAACCTCCGGACGTCACCACGGACTGGGGACGAGCCAGAGCGCGCCTGGCTTGACCTGACC